CGGTAGAAGGCCAGTAAACTTACTCTAGAAGAAAAGAATCATTTTTCTGTTGCTCAAATACTATAAGTAGTCAGAGTTTTCTTCACTTTTAATTACATAGTTTTGTTTTCCACTGCACTGTGAAAGTTTCTGTTCTTTATAAGAAATAACTTTCTGTACGCAAATTTTCCATTTCACTCGCTGTGAAGTAGAGGACAGCTGCCGGCAGTCACTTCAAAACAATTGACTCTGCCCGTAACACTGTGAATTGCTGGAGCTGGATTTGTCTGAAGCGAGCAAAACAAATACCCTTATGTGCAGTTTTCTGAATTTTGTAACCATTGGCTGAGTTAAATTTGCTTGAATGAAGACCCTCACATAGACCAGTTATTCTGGTGAATCATATATGGTTTAGCTGCGAAGCTCACTGCAACTGATCTTTTGCTTTTAAGATCTTTAGGTAGGTTGTTTTCGTACAAAAAATTCATTTCTTCATTGTCAGCAAGAAGTTTTTGCAATAATGTAATTTTAACTTGGTTTGAAGGAAATCCTACTTACGTGTAGGTTTTTGACAGATGTTATGCATTTTCAACTTGACAACACAAAGCATAATTTATATTTATCTCTCTGTACGCGAAACGATCAAGTTTAAAAATAAACTATAGTTGCTTTAAAACCGATTTTTGGGAAGATTTTACTAGATAAAGATTGACCTTTTTTCTGCCCGCATATCAACGCAATAACTTCTACATTGAGGATTTTGTTTATATTTTAGTTATCTGCGAAACTACGAGTGTCCGATCGAGCGAGGGTTTTATAATATCAGCTCGAGTGCGACAAGTTCAGTGCCCTTCAAACACATTGTGGGCAAGCGTTAATTTTTTTGGGCAAATCACTGTCCAAAGATATGTTGTTTTTGTGTCCACAGTGGAGCTCCGGACCTTATATATCCAGGAACTTCCTTATATGAACACATTTTGTAAATGCATCTTGAAAAAAATCGGATCTACGCATGCACATTTCCAGTACAACGCAAGGAAATTGATGTCGTTAAAGTCCGTTTTACTATGAGGTATTCTTCGAGAAAATTAAGTAACGACAAGGTTATAACCACAGCTTGCAACTTTTGAAGACAAACTGCCTGTTCTTTCCAGGTTATGAGTGGAAACATCTTATTTTTAGGCAATAAAATATTTGAAATCCCGCCATTTTTTCAAACCCGGCCAGGGGATCTGGGCAAAAAAGTTCACGCATGCTCATTACGTTTTTCCGCCCTGAAACCGAGAACAAATCTACCAAGTGGTCAGAGTGGGACTGGGACAGAGTGGGATGACCGAGAACAAATCTACCAAGTGGTCAGAGTGGGACTGGGACAGAGTGGGACGACCGAGAACAAATCTTCAGGGCGGATAAACGTTCTGCGCAAGCTTCTGCGCATCCTTCATCGCAGGCTCAAGGCGGGCTTTTCTGTGTGTTGACTGTGTTCGACAGTTTGTTTGTTTGTCACTGAGAGAGTTCTGACTAAGACTGAATGAAATGCACAAGGTGTGAACGTTCGCTCCTCGAAAAGCCTTTTTACTTTTGTGTGGTTTTTGTTTTTCGTCACTTGAAAATTACTTTGGACTCGGAACAACCAATGTTAAAGGAAAAACGGATCATTCCGTCAGTCTGAGGTGGAATAAAGAGTTTTGAACATTTCCAAAGAGGCGAGTATTTTTTGGATTGTTCATTCGATTTATTTGTGAGTTGATTTCGCCTTCTTTCGCCGGGCTGAATTAAAACCCACTCTTTTTTTAAATTAGTAAATACTTTTTCACATGCCCAGATTTATTCCCTTTGTAGAACCAGCTTTATCCTTCTCTTCAGTCAAAGAACCATTTTGTGCGCCGTAAAACTTTCTCGGAAATACCGGTAGAAGGCCAGTAAACTTACTCTAGAAGAAAAGAATCATTTTTCTGTTGCTCAAACACTATAAGTAGTCAGAGTTTTCTTCACTTTTAATTACATAGTTTTGTTTTCCACTGCAATGTGAAAGTTTCTGTTCTTTATAAGAAATAACTTTCTGTACGCAAATTTTCCATTCCACTCGCTGTGAAGTAGAGGACAACTGCCGGCAGTCACTTCAAAACAATTGACTCTGCCCGTAACACTGAATTGCTGGAGCTGGATTTGTCTGAAGCGAGCAAAACAAATACCCTTATGTGCAGTTTTCTGTGCAGTTTTTTGTAACGATTGGCTGAGTTTCATTTGTTTGAATGAAGACCCTCACATGGACCAGTTATTCACTGAGTTATTAAAGCGACGAGAAGAGCTACATGGTGAATCATGGTTTAGCTGCGAAGCTCACTGCAACTGATCTTTTGCTTTTAAGATCTTTAGGTAGGTTGTTTTCGTACAAAAAATTCATTTCTTCATTGTCAGCAAGAAGTTTTTGCAATAATGTAATTTTAACTTTGTTTGAAGGAAATCCTACTTACGTGTAGGTTTTTGACAGATGTTATGTATTTTCAACTTCAGTGTCACAACACAAAGCATAATTTATATTTATCTCTTAGTACGCGAAGCGATCAAGTTTAAAAATAAACTATAGTTGCTTTAAAACCGATTTTTGGGAAGAGTTTACTAGATAAAGATTGACCTTTTTTCTGCCCGCATATCAACGCAATAACTTCTACATTGAGGATTTTGTTTATATTTTAGTGATCTGCGAAACTACAAGTGTCCGATCGAGCGAGTGTTTTAAAATATCAGCTCGAGTGCGACAAAGTTCAGTGACTTCAAACACATTGTGGGCAAGCGTTAATTTTTTTGGGCAAATCACTGTTCAAAGATATGTTGTTTTTGTGTCCACAGTGGAGCTCCGGACCTTATATATCCAGGAACTTCCTTATATGAGCACATTTTGTGAATGCATCTCGAAAAAAATCGGACCTACGCATGCACATTTCCAGTACAACGCAAGGAAATCAATGTCGTTAAAGTCCGTTTTACTATGAGGTATTCTTCGAGAAAATTTACTAACGACAAGGTTATAACCACAGCTTGCAACTTTTGAAGACAAATTGCCTGTTCTTTCCAGGTTATGAGTGGAAACATCTTATTTTTAGGCAATAAATTATTTGAAATCCCGCCATTTTTTCAACCCGGCCAGGGGATCTGGGGTAAAAAGTTCACGCATGCTCATTACGTTTTTCCGCCCTGAAGAACAAATCTACCAAGTGGTCAGAGTGGGACTGGGACAGATTGGGACGACCGAGAACTTCAGGGCGGAAAAACGTTCTGCGCAAGCTTCTGCGCATCCCTTATCGCAGGCTCAAGGCGGGCTTTTCTGTGTGTTGACTGTGTTTGTTTGTTTGGAGTTCTGAGTGAAGTGCACGAGGTGCGAACGTTTGCTCCCTGTAAAGCATTTTTATTTGACATGTTTGCATTTTTTTCGTTGCTTGAAAATTACTTTGGATTCAGAGCAACCAATGTTAAAGGAAAAACGGATCATTCCGTCAGTCTGAGGTGGAATAAAAGGTTTTGAACATTTGTTAAGAGGCGAGTACTTTTCTGATTGTGCATCCGATTAATTTATGAGTTGATTTCGCCGGGTTGAATTAAAACCCGCTTGTATTCTGTTATTAGTAGTTACGGTTACTTTTTTTACATGCCCAGATTTATTACCTTTGCAGAACCAACTTTATCTTTGTCTTCAGTCAAAGAACCATATTACTGTTATAACGCATCAGAGTGAACAAACTTGTGCGCTTATTAAACTTTCTCGGAAATAGAAGGCCAGCAAGCGTACTCAAGATCATTTTTCTGTTGCTCAAGTAATAATAGTCAGAGTTTTTTCATTTTTCATTACATAGTTTTGTTTTCCAGTGCACTGTGAAAGTTTCTGTTCTTTATAAGAATAACTTTCTTACGCAAATTGTCCTTTTCTCTCGCTGTGAAGTAGAGAACGATAACTACCGGCAGTGACTTCAAAACAATTGACTCTTTTCCCGTAAACAATTCCTGCAGCTTGATTTGACTGAGGCGAGCAAAACAAACCCTTATGTGCAATCTTCTGTATTTTCTAATGATCGGCTGAGTTTAATTTGCTTAAACGAAGACCCTTGCATGGACCAGTTAAGCGTATTAAAAATAGCTAAATTGTGAATCATGGCTTGGCTGCCAAGTTGCAAGTGATCTTTTGCTTAATAAGATCTTTAGGTAGGTTGTTTTGGCGCAGAAAATTCATTTCTTTATTGTCAGCAACAGGTTTTTGAAATAATGTAACTTTAACTTTGTTTGAAGGAAATCCTACTTACGCGTAGGTTTTGGACAGATGTTATGCGTGTTCAACTAGACAACACAAAGTAAAATTTATGTATCTGCGCGAAACGAGCAAGTTTAAGAAACTATAGTTGCTTTGAAACCGATTTTTGGGAAGATTTTACTAGATAAAGATTGACCTTCTTTCTGCTCGCATATCAACGCAATATCTTCTACATTGAGGATTTTGTTTGTATTTTAGTGATCTGCGAAACTACGAGTGTCCGATCGAGCGAGGGTTTTAAAATATCAGCTCGAGTGCGACAAAGTTCAGTGACTTCAAACACATGGTGGGCAAGCGTTAATTTTTTTGGGCAAATCACTGTCCAAAGATATGTTGTTTTTGGGTCCACAGTGGAGCTCGGGACCTTATATATCCAGAAACTTCCTTATATGAACACATTTTGTGAATGCATCTTGAAAAAAATCGGACCTAAGCATGCATATTTCCAGTACAACGCAAGGAAAGTAATGTCGTTAAAGTCCGTTTTACTATGAGGTATTCTTCGAGAAAATTAAGTAACGACAAGGTTATAACCACAGCTTGCAACTTTTGAAGACAAATTGCCTGTTCTTTCCAGGTTATGAGTGGAAACATTTTATTTTTAGGCAAGAAAATATTTGAAATCCCGCCATTTTTTCAAACCCGGCCAGGGGATCTGGGCAAAAAAGTTCACGCATGCTCATTACGTTTTTCCGCCCTGAAACCGAGAACAAATCTACCAAGTGGTCAGAGTGGGACTGGGACAGAGTGAGACGACCGAGAACAAATCTACCAAGTGGTCAGAGTGGGACTGGGACAGAGTGAGACGACCGAGAACAAATCTACCAAGTGGTCAGAGTGGGACTGGGACAGAGTGGGACGACCAAGAACAAATCTACCAAGTGGTCAGAGTGGGACTCGAACTCGAGACAGCGCGGGTTGTGAGTTCGACGCGGACTTCTTGTTAGCTTTAGGAGCGTTGCGTGACGACACTAAAAACGGCTGTGTAGCAGACTAGAAGTTATCTTGCCTTGCTGTCTCTTATTGGAAGAAGTCAATCTCTATCATCAATCAGCCTTTTCTGCTTCGAAGGTGCGGCAATTAGACACAGTCTACCCCGGTTCCAGAGGTCCGTTCTCGACATACCTAGTCCAGATGTTTTTTTGTTAGACAGGACAAACGACAAGTGCTTTTTTAGTGCCAAACAATAAAGGAACTAAGGTTTTTCGTTCTGATGTCTGATCTTCTAATCTTGTTTTGTGATTGTCATTGAAATTGAAATGAATGTTTACCGGCTACGGAATGTTTAGTTGAGGATACCACGACGGGGTCGGCGCTGAAAACGTGGCTGAAAAAGCAAAATCTTTATCGCGATTTTTTCAACTCCTGAAGTTGAAGTTATGAAGTGACCCCCTGCGCTCAATTAGACGTACTTAGAAAAGAAAGTGCAAAGTTTTCAAGTTTTGCTTGTGTTTATACCAGTCAGTATTCACACCATTTGTTCAGATGTTTTAACTAATCCTTTTTCCCCACAACTATATTTTGCAGATTTGTCTGTATGTTTCAGTTGTGTGTCGTGCCTACATTTTAACTCGTGAAAGGAACGAAGAGAATGAAGATGACGTGAACTGTGGAAATACAAATTCAAATGAAGATATGATCGTCGCAGTGGGTCAGTCCGGTGGTTCAGTTAACATGAACTCATCAAATTTGCCTGCAGCTCCCAACGTATGGGTCTTCATAGCTCAGTTGGTAGAGTACTACAGCGCTAATGCGGAGGCCATGGGTTCGAATCCCGTTGAAGTCTGGCAATTTTTGTCGGGTTAATTTGCAGTTTCTCAAATTGCAATCACCACTGTGACGATCATATCTTCAATTAAATTTGTATTTCCGCGGCTCACATCATCTTCATTCCGTAAATGCTCTATCTCGTTGAATATGTCTTGAATAAATCACAAAACTAGAAAATTTTAGCCATGAGATCCTTCTGTAGCCCTTTTAGGTCGTTTAACAGACCGGTTTCCCTCCTCTTTCATATACTTCAACAAGTGAAATCCCTACCCTTTCGTATACCTAAAGCCTAAAAATGGTACCCCTTTCGGGAGGAACCTCCCCGTATAGAGAATACCCCTCCATTCAAAGCACGCTACCATTTTTTAAAAAAGGTGCCTGTCCACGCCGAAGCATTCAGTTATTCGGTTACTTTTAAACTTTAAGACAAGGAACGCTCTTTTAACAGAATATATCGTTAAGTATTTTAATTGGAATTCTTGTGCAGAAATTTCTAATTCCTGCAATGGGCCCGTTACCCAAAATATCTAATACTTCTTAAAATTTTTTGTTTTGGGGGGGGAGGGAGGTGTTTACAATTCATGAAAAAGAAAAAAATGCGTTTCCCGCTTTTAAGAAATTAGGGAGAATATATATTGAATCAAATTCAGCGGAACCTCTATTTAGGGGACACCCTCGGGACCGAGGCAAGTGTCCCTTGAATAGGGGTTGGGCTGGGGTTTGTTAATTATTAACCAAAAAAAACAATATAAAATCATCATCATTAACTTATCTCCATGGCGACATTATATGTTGAATTCACGCAAGTGCACAACATCGATTTAAGTGAGATTTCTCAGTTTGTGAAAGCTGCCATCAGAAATTCAAGATATCATAGTCTAGGTATTAACCCGCTTTGTGGTCAGTAACGTTTGAGTGTGAAGGTGTCTTCTGAATGGAGGTTAAATCTGGGTTTCGGGACCCAGAAAAGGTGTTGCTAAACCCTCCTATGTCATCAGGGCCGTAGCCACCTGTCATTAGTGCGCACCTGCGTGCCTCAAAGAAATGTCGAAGATAAATAAAACAAAAAAAAAAGGAACTCAAAGCAAATGGACAGAAGGTAAATAATGGATATATAGCAGAAAACGATGAAGTTGCCCAAAAGTCCGCTTTGCCTCGATCCGATAATTTTTTCATTAAAGCAAAAATGCGGTACTTTTTTTCCATTATCAATATTTTCACTGCAAAGGATAAACGAAAACGAATACGTCACAGAAAATACGATCTATAAGTAGGATCTACATGTACAAGAAGGAGACCGAGATCTGATCACCAAACCAATATCAAGTCAATACGATACACTGATCTGCAAAGCTGATCATTCTACACGAAAATTAACTTTGCAAAACACGACACGGACAGAACAATGATTATTTTGCACGTGGGCTCATCAGAAGGGCATAAAAAACAGAAAAGCTCTGCTTAAACAATAGCAGCACACTCTGTCCAAAGCCCCGTCACTGGATCGTCACACCCGCGGAATTGAGTACGTCATATCGCGTGCCTGCGGCGGAGGGCTAGATTCCAGGTGTCATTTTGATGTCCAACAAAGAAAATATTCAGGATAGCCAAATTAACCTTTCAGTGTAAAACATGGACAACAACCATGGAAGCATTTACAGCATACACATGAACGGTCCTATTTCTTTCTCACTATTCTTTTAAAAAAAGGAAATGATTTAATCACGTTGTCCGCGCCAAAATGATTTAGGAGAAAGGGTACGATTGATTAGGAAAACTATACTTAACCTCCAATACCTCCAATAATTTCTAGCTACGCCCCTGGTAATCATCCTTCCCGGATTTTTTACCGTTAACCGGAGAAATGTTTGCAAGTGCAAACTTTATGTATAAGCAATTATCTGTCATCAGCAACAAAGAGAAGATCAACCTATAGACAATACCATTGCCAATATTTACAGCATATAGATCAACGGTCCAAGGTGCACGCGAAAGCCGTCACAAGAACACGGTCGTAATGGTTACCCCACTATTCTTATAGAAAAGTGGGATCAATTTAGTTTTCTGGGATACGGCCCACCTACCCCTCCCCTAAGCTAACATTAACACTTACTTCTTACTTAGGGCAAAACGTTGCCTTAGGGGAGGGGCCAAAAAATGGAAATATAATCAAGTCACCTGCGTCAAAATGATTCAGGAGAAGGGGTACAAATGACTTGGAAAACTATGCGTACCTCCAAGAATTTCCTTACTATGCCCCTGGTCATCATTCTCAGTCCACGGATGTTTCTTAGCAGAAAACGTTTGTGTAAGAAATGATCTGTCATATTAATAACAAAAAAGACGAACACCTCATAGACAACGAACGAGACCGTTGCATTTTCAAAAGCCTTTGATGGAAAATCTAAGGCGATGCCTTCTTAATACCTTCCAAATAAATCAACCTCCCCACTCTTTTAAAAATTGGAGCGAGTTAACTGTAAAGTTAAAACGTATTCGCCTAAAATACCTTGAAAGAACAACGATGGTCTTTTAAATGTCTATAAAGGCTATAAGCTACATCATGAAATTGGCTAGTCCCAGAAAAACAACGTAGAGGCTTTCGTGCTATCAGACTTCTTTTACACACTCGTCTTGCATGGCTGGAATTAGACCTTTACGGAAGGCTATGGACAGGAGATCCTCAGCAGTTTTGGTCTCGGGGTACTGGCGAGCGGCCCACTTTAGGTACAAGGCGAACTCGTTCCAATCCACCGTTCCATCTTCATCCATGTCAATTGCTTTCAAAGCGCGCTTCGTCTCCTCGCACCTGTAGCAGCCAAAGTACGGTGCCAAGAGTCCATTGTAGAAGGCATCAAACTCCAACTTGTCATCTCTCTCACCATCTCGCAGGTCCCACTCATCCCACATAGCACGAACCTCAGCAATGAGCTGTTGCGCATGAACCCTCTTTGGCTCTTCTTTGGCGATGGCGTCGCTCATTTGTTCGGTGAGACTACCACCAGCCCGATCAAACAACAATGCGAGGCCAACTGCGCTCATGTACTCTTCTTTCCTGTTTTTGTGTAGATCTTCCAACATAACTGCTAGCATTCTTTGGGCTCTATCCTCTGTGAACTGGGGATCATCTCCAAACATTTTCTTGAGCCTTGTTACAATCATTCCAGGGGAGGCCAGAGTTGTCATTCGCATAACAGGTTCTTCACCGAAGAATTTAGCCATGTTAAAAACTTTCTCGTTTGGGTCAGGATCAAAGTTTGGCATTCCAAACACCATATCTAAGGCTCGCTCGCCATACACAACTTGCCTGTCATACACCTCACGTCCGGTGGTGATTCTGGTTACCTCTTGTGCTGCTTTGCGTAGAGCTGTACAGTTGTACTGCTTAAGGACCTTCTTGTTTCCCATGCGAATCATGTTCATCAGGGTGACAGTTGAGCTTGCATGACCCATGGAGGCTCCCTCTATGATGAGACTCGCCCAGACACCATTCGCTCCATTGACAAGGCATTCTAACTGGGTGATGTCTGCCATTCCCCACTGCTCGTGCACATGAACAAGCAAATGTCCATCCTCAAACCCACACTCGTCCATCTCTTCGCGTACGGCCTTTACCCAGCCACCAACCTCTTCAGGAAGATACTTCCCCGATTCTTCGGTCACCAGACCAAAGGGACGCTCGTCTGGAGGAAGGGAAGAAAGGTACCTTACAACCTTAAAAATTCGTTTCGGCTTCTTCTTCATACCATCTGGAAGGTCTCGTAAGTTGAAGAGTATCCTGCAATCTTTCGAAAGGTTTTCACGACACCATTTCATCCTCTCAGAGAAAAGCTTATTCATGTCTCGGACTTTGAACTTCTTGTAGTCGATTCCTGCCCAAACCAAGTCTGCTTCTATGATGACGTTCTTTATGCCCAGTTCCTTACACTTGAGCATGCCAATTGG